TCAGTAGACAGCTCCGCTCCTCTCTTCACCTGAGTGTCCAAAACATGCGGCCGCAGATCAGATGAGACGATGACAAAGTCGATCATCGAACTGCAGCCTAGGGTGTCCTGGTGCCAAGAACACATATGGACACCTTCATGCTTGAACATGGTGTTCATTATCAACAATCTATGACGAGCACAGAAGTCCAACAACAGAACACCACTTACATTCAGATCGGGGGGCATTCCTCCCAACCACACCCCTCCAGGTCTCACTGTCATTGCCCACGTGAATGTTGAATTTCCCCAGTAGAACAAGGGAGCCCTCAGGATGCGCACTTTCCAGTACCCCCTGTAAGGACTCCAAAAAGGGTGGGTAATCTGAGCTGCTGTTTGGCGCATAAGCACAAACAACAGTCAGAACATTTCCCCCAACACATAGATGGAGGAAGGCTACCCTCTCATTCACCGGGGTGAACCTCAACGTACAGGCACCAAGATGGGGGGGCAACAAGTATGCCCACTCCTGCTCTGTGCCTCTCGCCAGGGGCAACTCCAGAGTGGAAGAGTGTCCAACCCCTCTCAAGGAAACTGGTTCCAGAGCCAGAGTCATGTGTTGAGGTGAGTCTGACTATTTCTAGCCAGAACCTCTCAACCTCACACACCAGCTCAGGCTCCTTCCCTACCAGAGAGATGACATTCCACGTCCCAATAGCCAGCTTCTGTAGCCGAGGGTCAGACCGCCAGGGTCCCCGCCCTCGGCCACCGCCCATCCCACATTGCACCCAACCCCTTTGGCCCCTCCCACAGATGGTGAGCCCATGAGAAGAGGGACCAACATCTCCTCTTCGGGCTGTACCCGGCCGGGCTCCATGGGTAAAAGCCCGGCCACCAGGCGCTCGCCAGCGTGCCCCGCCTCCAGGCCCAGCTCCAGAGTTGGGCCATGGTGACCCTTGTCCGGGCGAGGGAACATTGATTCCATTCGTTTTGCTCATAATAGGGGTCTGTGGGTTGCACTTTGTCCTTCTAATTGTCAAATTTATTTATAAAGCACATTTAAAAACTGCAGCTGTTTCCTCACCGTGCTCGATATCTCGGAAACACATTCTCACAATCATTCTACCACATACATCTGCAATCATATCACACCCAGGCCTTACCCTTGATCAACTTTTCCAGGTAGTATTAAGATTCAACTGCACACTCAAAAATCACACCATGCTCCCACAATGCCACTATCACAGGAATCTTGTCTGCACTAAGTTGTTTAATTGACCTTATTGCACTCTACATACTGTTCTTATCTTTAAGGGACATTTCTGGGTTTCCACCATCAGCTTTAGTCATGCTGTGTGGAAGGAAACACTTCCCACCAAGCACGATTCAGATCCAAAGGAAGCAGCAAAAGAAGAACAAGGTAAATGGGGTTTTCTGCTCTGAGTCTTGACCAGATCCTCTCATCTTTTTTCCTCATCCAGCAGGCCTGACCATGATGAGAAGAAATGCATCGATTTGGGTTTAAAAGCCAAATGAAACCCCACTCATTGGTAGTATTTATTAGCACATAGATAGCATAGGTTGGTGGTTACAGCTGAAAGTTAAGCCCAAATGTATTTATGTAGTGCATTTCATACATAAAGCAACCTGATGCAATGTGTGCGTGACGGAGCTTCTTCTTGACATGAGGCCATGTCCAATACTGATTTAAATTTTCCACAACCAATGCTTACAGGTGAGCTCTGATCCAATGTCATGGATACACTGGCTACCATAACCACCCAGAACTCTAATGTGCTGCTACTGTGTGGTGAATGTGTAGAGAGGGTCCACACCTTCTGGTTCCTTGGCATCCTTATCTCCGCTGACCTCTCCTGGACAGATAACATCACAATGGCCATCAAGAAGTCTCAGCAGTGGCTTCACTTCCTGAGTTCTCAGGAAGTACAACCTGGATTCCAACCTGCTGCTGATCTTCTATTGCTTGTCCAATGAGAACCTGCTGATGTACTGCATCACAGTATGGCAGCTGCACCATGACAGACAGGAAGTGGCTCCAGAGAGTACTTGTAGTAAAGATGGCACAGAAGGTCATTGGATGCTCTCGCCCCTTCCTGATGGATATTTACATCTCCCTCCATCTCCTCAGCAGAGCAAAACACATCATCAAGGACAGCTGTCACCCTGGTTTTGAACTGTTTGACCCTCTGCCCTCAGAGAGGTGCTACAGGTGCAGTGGAACAAAAACAAAGACTCGAGGAGAGCACCCCCCCCCCCAAAAAAAAAAAAGCAATAACAATTCTGAACTCACCCATGCACTGACAGCACATATCTGGACTTTTACCCACTGTGCATTGCTTAGTATGTTTAATATGTTGCTTCCTTCTGTCCTTCCTTAGATAAATAACTTTACTAACTGGAATTTATAATGTACAAGTATATGGATGTTTCTGTTCAGTGCCCTGAGATAACTTCTGTTGTGACTTGGTGCTTTATAAATAAACTGAACTGAATTGAATTTAAATATCTAATTACTTAATTTATTGACAATATTGCACAATACCATAACTTTCCGATGTATTCAGAGTGTGAAATACCTCTACAGTTTTCAGTCCAATGCCACTACTGCTGTTTTTAGCATACTTTAATTTATAATTTTTTACTTTTAGCTTGTATGTATGCTGCACTGTGAGACGAGTTGCTTTTAGTCTCATTGTACATGGACTTATTGACAATAAAAGCATTCATTCACATTAATAAATACATGGCCTCTTTACAAAAGGCTTATGTATACTCAAACCGTCATGGATCTGTCATACTCCATGACTTGTAATGGGGCGCCTGCTGCATTCCTGATACATGCCTGAAAACCTCGCTTGCAAAGACCATCAACCTCCTGGCTGATGTGTTTTTACATTGTAGTGAGGCCTTCTTTCAGTCTGAGAGATCCTATGGGAAGGTCTGTGCAGCTTTTATTTTTGATAACACTAAGAAAATAGAAAGTAATTGTTATGCTTTTGAGAGAGAGCGTGAGAGAGAGAGAGGGAGAGAGAGAGCTGCTTTTAATGTGTTTTTTTTTTTCATTCAACCTTTATTTAAACAGATAAGTCACATTGAGCCTAGAAGACTCATTTACAAGTGAGACCTGTTTAGACAGACAAAAAGTAGTGAAAACTGGACACATGTAGGAAGTGGAGGCAAAAAAAATTCCATCAGACTTTTTTTTTCCTGCCTGAGAAGAAAAAGCTGACATTAAAAAAACACCTCGCACAAACAAGCACATAGTGACGTAGACATTCTGCAGACGGAGGAGACGAGAGCGGTCAGCATGATCATAGATGCTCTCGAGGTCACTGTAAGAGTTCTGATAAAGATGTTATAATCAGTCAATGTCCTCCGGTGATATCCGTAAACATTCTCGAGGTATGTCGAGAAATGGCCAAGAATAACGTCTATGAGAATCCAAGAGTCCTGAAACGATGACACAAAGTTTATTCAGCTGGTTTCATCTGGTTATCAGTTGGAAATTCCTCATGGAGGGGGCAGTGAGTGTCAGATCACATGTTCTCCAGGCAAATTCAGATAAACACACAGTTGTTTTGGGGACAGGCAGAACTTAATGACATCTACCTTGAGTATGTGTTGGTCCACTCGGTTCCGAAGTGTCCAAATTTCATGGCCACACCGACGGAACGTGACTGAGTCAAATCCCCAAGATGTGATCCATTCTGCCCAAAGCATTTGAGTCCGGGTACTCGAGACACGAACCAAGCCATCATAAAGGCAAGCAGCGTGATCAGGTCCAAATTTGCTGCCAATGACTTCCTTGATTGTAGATAAAACCAGCCACCAGCCGAATCCAAAAAGGCAGGAACCAGTTATCAAAAATCCAATTAAATATGTGTCCTTAAAATCCACAAATGGCAGCAGAGATAGACACATCATCAAGTCTTCAAGTCAATGAGATATCCAGCTGCGTGCTGCCAACAGAGCAAATCGGCTCGTCTAAAGCCTGTCTTCTCTTTGAAGAAATGTTGTAAATTGTGTTGAGGGACCAACTGATAAAAACAAGTCCATAATTATGGTTCGGAAGAAATGAAGAGAGGCTCACATCAGTTTCACAGACAGACAGAGCAGCAAAGCAAAGCGGAGAGGGAGGGGAGAAGCGTCCGATCTCGGCAAGAGCAAGTGGAAATGGACACAACTTTCCATCCCATTTTAATCTTCGTAATAATTTTTATTTACATTCAGGTGTAAATTATTCAAATCTTGCCTAAAGTTCTGAAAGCTTCTTTTCTCTTCTCTCCTCACTGTTTGCATTTGTTCTTTAAAAAAAATAACAGAGGAGAGAGTGTGACGTTGTGAACAGCCCCTGCAGATCCATTACAGACTGACTGCTTCTCTGGATTTTTAAAAGTGCAGAGTTTAAAATGTTCACATTGAGGTTCCTCATTCAGCAGAGATGCTGATCCTGATTATATCACATTCATGCACCCATATTTATCATTATCTGTTACGCTGGGGTCAGGGTGACTATGAACATGTTTGTCTGTGTGACTATGAACATGTTTGTCTGTATGCATGACTCAAGTAGAGCTGTAATTACTTTTGGCAGTACCCATAACAATGCTTGGCCATTGAAGATTTATATTACCTCAGGTTTGGGCAGTACCAGCGATACACTTACATTTCCTGTTTGCTGATCACACTTTGTGTGACTGAGGTTCTGTGGGTAATATTTTTCACACTTCATTTTGTGTGACTGAGGTTCTGTGGTAATGTTTTTCACACTTCATTTTTCGAATCAAGTGTGTCTCATTCCACTTCTGCATCATGTGTGCAACTAACAAGGCAGCTTTTTGAAATAATTATTTAAAAAAAATGTTTTATGACAAATTTATGAAAAAGTGTTTGGTTTGCAGGACATGAGATCCATTCACACCTTATCACAGGAGGCCGGAGCAATTAAAGTTTAAGAATATTTTCACATGTTAAGAGGTTTTGACATGAGAAGTAGTCCATTTATGTAGTCCTTCCAAACCCTGAGTCCATGGTTGATGTGGCCATGTTTTCCTCCCCCAGATGTTCAAGCTTCTGATTAGCACTTCCTGTTGTTGACCAAACCATTGCTTTTCTGTTAGAGTCTCCCTGGTTGCATCTCAAAAGTCTGAGGGTTTGACAACGAAAGGTTCTGTCCAACAGGAAGTACATCACAGGGTCAGTTGAGCCTCTCAGAGCAGCAAGAAGAAAAAGGATGTTCTTCACCTAAAGAGGAGGAGAACAGGTGACATGGTCTGCATTTACTAAGAAAAGAAAAGCAGGTGAAAGGTCGTCACCTCAATGTAGATGTTGAGTGGATGACAGCTGCAGTCGTCAGGGCCGGAGTAGTGCAGCAGGTCAGGTTGATGATGAATCAGCGTGATGAAGATGGGTTTGTAAATATGAAATGGCAGAAGACAAACTGAAAGAACAATCTGCAGAAAGTGTGTTCAAAATAAATAATCACTCAACATATTCTTATGAAAAATAAGTATTCTATTTATTTTGATGCTAATCTCATATACAGTATATTAAAATATACATAAACTATTCTGTGCAAAAGTCTTAACCACTTTTATTTATTTCTTTAGCTTCAAAGCAGCTAAGCTGTTTAAAAATATTTCATAGTTTTTTCAATCAGTGGCTCTTTAGGCTTTCTGAAGTTTTTTCTTTAACATTGACTGCTTTTTTTTAACTTATTGTTATTACAGTCCTTGTGCCAGAAATTTTTCATAACTCTTTTCTTAATTTTTGAGACAAAAAAGCTCCTGTACTCCAGAAAAGAAGCAGTGCTGAGTCAACATTCAACATAAAATTTAGCAAAGAACTCTTTACATCTGATCTTTTGGTTCTTTGTTACAAACACATGATTTGTTGTCATTTCTTTAGGTAAATCTGCAAAACAAATTCAAGATAAAACACTGAAATCAGTGTAAAAGTCTTTTCTTTCCATTAATTGGTGATTCCCAAAGATGTATCAGCTGAAAACTTGGCATGACATAGCAGGTTGTAGTGAACATAGGCATCACAGCAATTAGATTTCAAGGGGACATGTCGCCCCAAATATATTCATCCCCCCCCCAAACCATGAAATATTTGTTCACCCAGCGTTATTTCTGTTTCTTTGTGAAAGAATCCATTCCACTTGATTAATAGGAGAATACTCAAACCACTAAAAATCCACTCCGGGTTTTCCGAGGTCATCTGCCTTGGCAGGGCGCTCATGGGGGGAGGAGGGGGAGATGCCTTTGTTTAAAGCACTAGCTTTGCACCTTCTTAGTGTTGGCTATTGTTGATGTGGGTGGGATATATGAGAGAAGCGGAGCACTATGTCTGTAGCATCTTAGCTAACGTGTCTGTATTGTGTACTGCTAGCTTAGCGCTACATTAGTTATGGCAGTTTTGAAGGGGGGGGGGGGGGGGGGGGGGGTTGTGCTGTGCTCTCTAAAATAGTTATTGAATCAAGTGTTTACATTTGTAGGTAAATGTTTAAAAACCCATTAAAATACACCAGAATGCAGGAAATGGCATTTACTTTATTCAAAATTTTCTGGGGGAAGACTCCCAGACTCCCCCACCAAGACTATTTGTGTGTTCGACTTATGTCGGCATGCCCAAAGAGCCAATTTAAACCTTAAGTATCTTGAGTAGCTTGTTTTGAGTATAGACAACACAAGTTCTTTCTTTGAGTTCAGGAGCCTTTTTGAGCCTGAATGATTCAGACTAGTTCTTCTTAAACTGACATATGATAGACTGAAATAAATTTAAATATGAGCTAAAGTCCAAAGATGAACCTCCAGAACCTTAATATGCTTTTAAGATTCCAAAAAAATTTGACTTCTGAAGCAGCATGTAAAATATATTAATTTGCCTCAAGCCTTTTGCTCACTGTTGTAGTTAATTTCAGAGTTGTGGATTTTGAAAACATGAAATTGTGTTGATCTAAGCAAGCTGGTCACCACCTGTATGACCACGATGTTCCTGAAGACCCGGGCCAGCAGGCTCTGTGAGGTGTTGACGTTTGTGTTGAGGCGAGAGCGTCTGATGTGCCTTAGCACCGTCATGTATGACAGAAGCACCAGCAGGTAGAACACAAAGAACACGGTTATAGTAGCGATATTGAGAGATGAGGACACACTTCCTCCAAGTTCCACGGCAGGGTTGTAGCAGACATCCACACATTTCTCTCTCTGTTCATCACCATCCTTTTTGCCCATCATAGCCTCATTCACAGAGTAGTAGACAGTCACTGGCACAATTGCCCCCACCGATACCACCCACACCGTGGCACATACAGCATTTGCAAAGGAGACCCGTGTGAGGCAGCTGAAGAAGCTGTGAGGTAGCAGGGTGATGCAAGCGCTTGGTCTGGAGGCGTGGGTGTTCTGAATGAGGACTGCGAAGCGGCTGAGGGCCACCCACGTGAGGATCAGAAGGCTGATATAGATGTTGATGTGGAGCACAGGGGTGATCCCGTGCAGAACTATCTGACACAGGGCACTGCTCATAGCCCAGGCTGAACCCTTGGCAAAGTATGCTGCGAGGAAGGGCGTGACACAAGACATCAGGAGGTTGGAGATGCTCAGGTGAGCTAAGTAAATGTGGGTGGGGGAGATGGATGAGATGCGGCGCAGAAATATCCACAAAGATAGTGCGTTGCCTGGCAGAGCGGTGAGGAAGAGGAGCATGTAGATGGAAGGGAGGAAGAAGAGTGTTGCATCGGTGGGACAAAGGGAGAAGGAGGCATTATAAGGTGGAGGTCTGAACGGTGGGTTCTCCATTTAACCTGTAAGAATGAAAACACCACAAAAATATAAGAATCGGTAAGAGTATACACTTCAAAGCTTTAGTATTTTCAGTAAACCTCCTTAGGGATGCACAAATACTGGTACCAGTTCTAGGCATCAGTTTCATACTGTTTGCATGTACTCTTACTCAAAAAAGTACCATCAACCTAATGTCATTTACAGCATGTGTGGAGGTTTTTTTAAAGTGGTGATGATGAAAAAAAAACAAGGCGGATTGAAAATTAGGCTCAGCAAAGCTGTCGAGATCTAACATGTTCAACACCAACTTTTTGATAAAACATCTAAAATACTAACACGACATTCAAGTTCAAAAAGTTTCCTAATAGCAACAGTTGTGACAGCTACAGTTTCTCAATGAGAAGAAGAGGATCTTATGTACAGATATTTCCTGTTTGACACGTTTGAAACATTCTTTATTATCTTGTAAATAAAAACTGAACAAAGACGTTTTAACAGTTCATGTTGTTGATAAGTCATGATTCACAAGTATCAAAAGACTTTTTTAGTTGGTTTAAGAACACTGCACTGACAGAGACAGCTAACAAAGGCTGTGTTCACGTCATATGTGTCTAATGTTGTTTTTGTCATTAAAGCTTGAGGTCAGTGCATCGACACTCCCCACATCGGTCTTTCTTCACTATAACACACATTATCCTGGCCTCAAACCTTCTCATCACTCATGGGTCTATATTAATCTTAAATATGTTCTTTATAGAAATTAAATGTCAAACTTTTACACAAGCACGTTTCTTAAAGCACAGCATATACAGTATTTTGTGATCCAAATGTGAACACATAAGGAAATGTTGTCGTTAACAGCTCACAGCAGCTTAGAATACGGGATAAACTACGCTAATATCTCCACAATCCACTGAATAGTTGTGATGTTGAGAATAACGAGTAATTTATATTTAATGAGGAACAAATTCAATTTCATTTTATGAATCTGCTTTACCTATAAAATGAATTTGCCCCCTTAGAGGTTTTATGATTTTTATTTAGGGCGGCTGTGGCTGAGTGGTTAGAGCAGTCGTCCTTTATTGCAAGAGTTGGGAGGTTCGAATCCACCAGCGGTCACATGTTGAAGTGTCCTCCGGTCAAGACACTGAACCCCTCATTGCCTCAGATGTGTGTCCCATTGGTGCGTGAATGTGATAAAGCACTGATTTGTTCAATTAGCTTTGTATAGATCTAGTAGAGTGCTGTATGAATGGGTACGAGGCACAGATTGTAGTGTAAAGAGCTTTGAGTATCTTGATCAGATAGAAAGGTGTTATATAAGTACAATCAATTTACCATTACTGTCATAAATTAGACATGGTCAATATTAATTGGCCTTCTTTACAAAAAGAAAACGCATGTCAAATTAAAATCTTTTTTTTTCCCCCACAGGGAATTACCAATTGTTATGTAAAATAAATTATCGCATAAATATCCACCCCTTTTAAAGTGATTCCAACGGGGAAGGGAATCTAGGTGTCGAGAGGCATGTGTGTGGAGGAGCGTGGAGTTGTCAAAAAAAAAAAAATTTGAAAAAAATTGTAGAAAACTGTAGAAAAATTCTAGAATTGCGCCGCTCAAGGTGGCTGCATGTTGGAGCAGATCTGTTACTTTCATTCTGAGATATTACTTTTGAAAACTTTAATTCCTCTTTTTTCTTGATATAAATCGCTTTTTTTGGATGATTATTTCCTCTGGTGTCGGATGCTGTGCAGCTGGAAGTATTTTTACAGAAATATCTTTGCTTTTGGACATTTGTTATGATGCGTAACCATAACAACAAGGTTGTTTCTTACAACCGGGAGCAGCTGATTAACATCTCCAAAGCTCAAATAATATCTCAACTACAGCCTCAAATCCCAAATGAGTTGAAAAGGAGGCGTCGTGGATGCAGAGCAGGAGCAAAGAAGAGGGAGAAAAAGAGAAGAATGCAGTTTAAACCATCTCTTCCATCAATCATGATGGGCAATGTGAGATCACTGGGAAACAAGTTGGATGAACTTCATGCCCTAACAAGGACCCATCCAGAGTATCAGGAATGCAGTTATGTGTTTCACTAAGACTTGGCTGCAGGATCATATCCCCGACTCCAGCGTTTCCTTGCCAGGCTTTCTGACCATACGAGCAGATAGAGATTTAAAGAGGAGTGGCAAAAGGAAATGAGGTGGGTTGGCAGTGCTTGTGATCTACAGATGGTGTAATCCTGGACATGTTACTGTGAAGTGTCGTCTCTGTAGTCCAGATATTGAACTGTTAGCCCTAAGTTGTCGTCCATATTATTTACCAAGAGAGTTCACCAGTGTTATTTTGGCAACTGTTTACATTCAACCCAATGCTGTTGCCGAGACTGCGTGTGATGTCATCAGCTCAGAGGTTGCTAAGCTACAGACACAACACCCTAGTGCGTTTGTTGCAATATCTGGGGATTTTAATCATGACTCTTTCTCTGCTACATTTCCAACATTCCAACAGTTTGTCAGTTGCTCTACCAGAGAAAACAAAACGCTGGACTTGTTTTATGCAAATGTCAAGGATTCATACATCGCTAAAGCTAGACCCCCTCTTGGCAAATCAGATCATAATCTTGTGTTTCTCTGCTTAAAATATAAACCCCTTGTTCAGAGGCAACCTGCAATAAAGAGGACAGTGAGAAAATGGTCAACGGAAGCTGAAGAAGCCCTGCGGGGTTGTTTTGAGGCTACAGACTGGGATGCACTGTGCCAGCCAAATGTAGAGGACATAAATGTCATGACTGAGTGTGTGACCGACTATATAAACTTCTGTGTAAACAACACCATCCCCACCAGAACAGTGAGATACTTCCCCAATAACAAACCCTGGATTACCACTGACCTGAAGGAACTGCTAAACCAGAAAAAAAGAGCCTTCAGGGAGGGAGACAGGGAATTATTGAGGAGTACACAGAAGCAACTTAAAGTCAAGATAAGAAACAGCAAGGAGGTGTACAAGAAGAAGCTGGCGAGCAAGCTCCTACAGAACAATATCAGAGAGGTTTGGTCAGGGATGAAAAAGATCACAGGCTTCAAGCAGAAGGAGGATCAGAAGGATGGAAGCCTGGACAGAGCCAATGAACTGAACACGTTCTTCAATCGGTTCAGTTCAGGAACAAGCTCAGCATCCTCCTCTCTTGCCCACAGCCAAACATACATACCACCCTCCATTGACCCAAGGCTGTCCTGTCACACCTCAAATATTGTATCTACCACCTCAGTCATGGACCCTTCTTCTACATATTGGTCTTTAACCAAATCAGAAGATCCTGCTACCTCCTTTGCCTCCCCCCTCTGCATCTCCAGAAGTCAGGTGAGGAAGCAGCTGGTGAGACTGAACCGGAATAAGGCTGCAGGTCCAGATGGTGTCAGTCCCAGAGTCCTGAAGGTCTGTGCAGAGCAGCTCTGTGGGGTTCTGCAGCACCTCTTCAACCTTAGCCTGACCCAGGAGAAGGTTCCAGTGTTGTGGAAAACATCCTGTCTTGTTCCAGTGCCAAAGAAAACGCACCCATCAGTCCTCAATGACTATAGACCTGTTGCCCTGACATCCCACATCATGAAGGTCCTAGAGAGACTTCTGCTGACCCACCTGACTAGACAAACAAGCACATATCAGGA